CCTCAGCCTTCCAAGTAGCTGGAACTACAGATGCATGCCACCACACCCAGCTAGTTTTTGGGATTTATTGTAGAGATGAGGTCTCACCAAGTTGCCCAGGCTGGTCTTGAACCCCCGGGTTCAGACAATCCTCTCACCTTGGCCCCCCAAAGTGCTGGGATTACAGGCTGAGCCACCACGCCCAGCCAAGAGAGTATTTTAACATTAACAATGTATGAAGGATACACCCTTAGTCCTTTCTTTAAATTGAATAAATTTAGCTTTAGGAAGCACTCATTCACTACCCTTATTTTCCTATTTCATCACACTTAGCTTTGGGAACCACAAATTTAGAATGTTGTAAATGGAAGCTCAAAGCATGGAAGTGCTTTGTCCAGAGACTGGTAGCTGGTTTCTTGCAAAGCCAGGACCAGAATGCCCATCTCTCCACACTGCAGTCCAGTGCATACCACATCTGACGGTCTTTTCTGAAGCTAATGGTTAATACCCTTTGTCTTCTTTTGCAGATCCTGACTGGATTAAGAGGTTACTGCAAAGCCCCTGTCCTTTCTGTGATTCTCCTGTCTTCTAAATCTCGGTGGTGGGAAGATGGAATGGCATGAACTCTACTACAGAAAATACCCTAGCCTAAAGTAGGGATGTGCTGGAGGAAACCTGGTCCTCCCTGATGGTAAAGAGGGCCCTGGAAGTTCACTTCTGAAGGGCACTCTGCATCTCCAGGGACTAAAGGATACCTTTTAAATGAGTAAATGCAGAGAGTTTGCCTCGTTCTGAAATGAGTATTAGCCCCAGCTCATACTCAACGAAGAACACTTATTTTTCAAGTGTCTTAACTGAAGCAATTTGAACAAAATAGTCTGTCATGTCTAGGAACAGAATGGTCTCTTCTGGAGAGTTTTGATAAGGAGCTTGCTGAAGTGAGTTAGGTTTTATTCCTTCTTTGGTCAGGAACTGCCCATGGCTCCAGAGAACTTAAATTGCCTAGTATATGGCATTTGATATCCCAACATATTAAAAATGTAAAAATTTCTAAAAAGGTGTAGGCTGTTGTTTTCTTTTCAGAAAATAACCTCAGATCTGTATCCCATCCATTCTTGTTTTTCATGATTTTGGAAAATGTTTTCCTAAAACTCTTTATATTTTTTAAGAAGTTGAAGCCAAGACTAAAGTTTAGTGTGTCAAATGACCAGGTGACTATTATAAGTTAATAATTGTAAACGACTTGTTTTTCTATTTTATTATTATTATTATTATTTTGAATTGGAGTCTTACTCTGTTCCCCAGGCTGGAGTGCAGTGGCACACCCACGGCCACTGCAGCCTCGACCTGCTGTGCTCAGGCAGTCCTTCCTCCTCAGCCTTCCAAGTACCTGGAACTACAGGCACTTACCACCATGGACTTGTTTTTCACTCTCTGCTGTGTGTCAGATTTTTCTAACCTAACTCCTTAATTCGTATAAAGATGTCAAGTACTACAGTTGACGCATGTCACAGCCCTGTTTCAGACTTAGCTGTGATAACCTTGATGAGCTATTATCTGTACCCAGAAGAAAATATTTTCTTCTTTTAGTATTTTAGTGTTAATTGATACTTTTAGTGTCTTAAAGTTAACATTTACAGACGTTTCACTATTGTCCAAGGTAGCAGTCTGATTAGAGACTTCTGGAATGAGATGGGCAATTCCAAAGTGGAGACCCTTGAGCTCTGGTCCTGTAAGCACGTGCACTACAGTTGAACAGAGCCTAGGACCTCTGCAGAGGTCCTTGATATTTGGAATACAGGTGTTTTTTTCATCCCCCCGTAGGGCATTAAGAGATGTCAGATTTCAGTTTCGTCAGTTTGATTACTTGCTCTTGATCAAAACCTAGAAGAGGCATTCTGGAATTACAGTGTTCTGCATTCTTAAAATATGTGTCCTGGGGGATTGGTGCTAATCAACAGGACTGTGATGCACACATCTTGAAATGGTACATGTTTCTAGAAAGTTGGGTAGGAAATAGAAAATACAAATTTCTTATATTTCATACTGTCTCTTTTGCCTTTATCCTAATATAATTTCCTGCTTTTATTTTGTGTCCTTGTGAAAGGCATTTTGTCCTCACTTTAGAAATAACATCTCGATATTTGAATACCACTGTAATGGTCCCTACCCCCACCCCTGTTGATAGATAGTGGAGACAAGCACCCTTAATAGGCACTTCCAAACAGTCTGCTCAGAAATATCTTTTGTCTCCTCAAGTTGCCATTTTGTCTCCTGTGTTTAATTGTGTATTTACTATCATCTTCTGCTTTTTTTTCTCATTTTGGTGGTAATTTCAAGAATAGTGTTGATCCAGACTTTAGGGTCCAGCATGTTAAATTGATTTTCAAGAAACAGAAACCAGACCACACTGAAATCATGAATAAAACAAGCCGCATTGTATAGTTAAAGTCGTCTGTTCCTGCAGCTGTTTCTTTTACTTTATAATAAATATGACAGTAAAAATTGAGATCATGGCCACAAATTATTGCAGTTTTAATAATCATGGCATGCTTACACTCATTTATTTTTTTCTTCCTAATCAGACTCAGTAGGGATTTGTTCTTACTGGATAATTTTGTGCTGCTGCCACTTAAAACTTACATTAAGTTTTTATTGAAAGCAGTTGTGCATTTTTGAGAAAATGTAATTATTGGGAGTGACTAGAAAGAGTCGCCTGGATTATTCTGTATGTTCCTACAGGAGTAAACGTGGCAACAGTTTTACTAGAGTATGGACTCTTGCTGCAAGGGGTTGGCCCAGTAGCAATCTTAAGACCCTGAAATTCAGCCAACACCTGCCTCAGCCAAGTTTCTTTTTTTTTTTTTTGAGTCGGAGTCTCACTCTGTCGCCCAGACTGGAGTGCAGTGGCCGCTCCCGGCCACCGCAGCCTCGACCTGCTGGGCTCCGGCGATCCTTCGCCTCAGCCTTCAAAGCAGCTGGAACTACAGGCGCACGCTACCACGCCCGGCTAATTTTTGATTTATTGTAGACATGAGGTCTCGCCAAGTTGCCCAGGTGGGTCTCGAACCCGTGGGCTCAATCCACTCACCTCAGCCTCCCAAAGGCGTGGGATTACAGGCTGAGCCACTGAGCCCAGCTCTCAACCAAGTTTCTACACGCCCAGTTGGGAGGCCTTTTCCCACCCTTACCCTCATCCATGGAGGTTAAACCATTGAGTTGGGGAAACGAGATTTTGCATTCAAGGCAGTTTCACAAACTGCACTTCTGAATTTCTCTGAGGGTCAGCATACCTGATGATAGTGAAACTTCAGGAAAGTGCGAGTTGCACCAAGAATCTTCTGGTTGCCTCTTCTAGTTTAAACTCATCATACCTTCTAAACCTTCCTAAAATTCGCCTGGTCTATTTGGTAGATTTCAATTTGATTTCAGTTGTAATGGTAATAACTGTTTCAGGAATGAGAGAAAACAAGTGCTATTGCTGCACTACATTTAAAGTGCAGGAGCAGAGATTCGATACAATTAGACCTTTTAAGCTACAACATCGTTGCATTTTGGAAGTCTAATATGCACGTATGTATGACATTTTCTCTGCCTGGGGTTAATTTGTTCCTATTATTGTAGATAAGAAATTGATAGCTTGTTATGGTTGATATTCATTCTGAAATCTTTATGTGTCCAGCACCCAGACTTCAAGCTTCACTACCTACTATTATATCTGCCAAAACTACCAATTATTTTTCAATGTCAGAAGTTATTAGAACCACTGTTGAAGCTTATGGTTGAATGTGACATTTTTCTGCTTTTCCCTCTAAGAAGTTTTTGGGAATGTTAATGTTGAAGTATTTAGGTTAGGCCTATTAGCTAGCTTAACAGGTTGATTAGGTAAAAAGGATGTTAAACAGTGATGATGAAATATTAAAATATATTATGATTATAATGGTATCAGATAAGATGCAAAAGAAATTGATGTTTATTGGTACTTGTTAAGAGGATTACAGCGCTGGTCTTATGAGCACCTGCTCCCCTGTAGCAGTTCAACTGCCTGAGTTTGGTGAATTGCTGTAATTCCTGGAATGGAATCAGGAATTAGTGTCGCTGGGTGATTTCCACAGGATCTGTCCATCCTTTCTGCTCGTGACACCCTCTCCCCCTCCCTTTGGTTTCCATTTCTTTAGTTCTCTCAGCTTTAGGACATGTTCAGAGCTAACAGATTTCATGTCTGAAAGGAAAATAGATTAATGATTAAATTCCTGAAAGTTAAATCATATACTGGATCTCACTTCATAGAAGAAACTACACACACACACACACACACACACACACACACACACACACACTAGGTGGCTCAGCTTTTCCTGTATTTTGTTTTATTTTTTTTGAGTTGGAGTCTCACTCTGTCGCCCATACTGGAGTGCAGTGGCCGCTCCCGGCCACCGCAGCCTCGACCTGCTGGGCTCCGGCGATCCTTCCACCTCAGCCTTCCAAGTAGCTGGAATTACAGGAGTGCACTACCATGTCCAGCTCATTTTGGTTTATTGTAGAGATGAGGTCTCGCTGCCCAGGCGGGTCTCGAACCCGCGAGTTCGGGCAATCCACTCACCTCAGCCTCCCAAAGGCACGGGATTACAGGCTGAGCCACCGAGCCCGGCTTCCTTGTATTTTCTTTGAGTCACAATTTCACTCTCAGGGAGAGACCTAGTAACCTTGGGGTGCTAGTGAAATTTTTGAGAGCAATATTATATGGTTTGCCAACAGGGTCTAAGAAGGTATTCATTCTTTCTGGGCTTGAGAAGAGGTGAAAAATGGGGAAGCTGATACTTACATACTGAAATAATAAAGGTACAGGCTGTCTAGTTGAAATACTGTACCTGGGCTGGGTAGAATATACATATATGGAGTCAGGGTCTCACTGTCACCCATGCTGGAGTGCAGTGGCACGATCATGGCTCACCATAACTTCAACCTCCCGGACTCAGGCAATCCTGCTTCAGCCTCCTGAGAAGCTGGGACTACAGATGCGTGACACCATGCCCAGCTAATTTCTTTGATTTTTATTTATTTTATTTTATTTTTATTTTTGGTAGAGGTGAGGCCTCACTGTGTTTTGCTTTTTTGTGTGTGTTTTGTTTTTTTTTTTGTAGAGGGCTAGTCTTAAACTCCTGGGCTCGAACAATCCTTTCACCTTGGCCTCTGAAAGTGCTGGCATTACAGGTGTGAGCCACCTGCCCAGCTAAACAGTAATGTTTCTTTCTAAAGGTAATAGTGTTAAGTATTAACAACATGGTAAATTGTATCTGATTTTCTTCAATACATTTGACTATAATTTCCCTATCAGGGTGCTCAATATCTCTTGACTGGACCTGGAGCTAAGGGATACAAAATTTTAGCTGTCCCCGCCCCCCACTCCAGTCAGTATTATTATTATTATTATTATTATTTTTTTTTTTTTAGTTGGAGTCTCACTCTGTTGCTCAGACTGGAGTGCAGTGGCCGCTCCCGGCCACCGCAGCCTCGACCTGCTGGGCTCCGGCGATCCTTCCGCCTCAGCCTTCCGAGTAGCCGGAATTACAGACGCGCACTACCACTCCCAGCTAATTTTTTGATTTTATTGTAGAGATGAGGTCTCGCCAAGTTGCCCAGGCGGGTCTCGAACCCGTGGGCTCATGCAGTCCACTCACCTCAGCCTCCCAAAGTGCTGGGATTACAGGCTGAGCCACCGAGCCTGGCTCAGTCAGTATTATTCACAAGCAAAAATTCTGGTTAGAGCTAAGCTGATTGGGTTGTATTCAGTCAGTACAGCCAGCAAATAGCAGATGAGTATGTGAATTTCCACATTAGCTCACCATGGACTGTTCTGAGCCACTGTGTGGCTTCCATAATTCATTTTGAAGTATCTTTACGTGCTCATACTGATTGTCTGTGTTTTGGTGATTAGCAATTCAGAGAGGTTGGGGAGTGTCTCAAGAATCTAACCTTTCCCCTCCTGGTGGTCAGATTTTTTAAATGCCTCTAAAGGATCTAACTGAAATGAATTGTTTTCATTTGAGTTGTTAATGAAATTATCAACTGGCAGCCTCAAACAGTTTTAGACAAGGTCTCAAGGCTCTCATAGTTACTAGACTTTGAACTGCTCTTTCGTGAAGCTGAAAGAGGTTTTTGAAGTTCAGATCTGCTTCGTGTCTACTAACATGGTATCTTCAACATATACAGCATGTGAAAATTGACTCTTCTTAAATAGAATTAAGCTAAACTTG